GCATTCAAAGAGCCCGATGTCTATGTGGCCTCAAAGTCGAGACACTCTGGTGGCAGTACAATGGATTTGACGATCATCGGCAGCAATTTAACAGTAAGTGCAGTATCACTTGCTCAGGGCGCCATAATAAAATGACAACCATCTTTTCAAGGTTCACCACCCACCGACGCCAATTGCCCGCCACTTGCTGAACAACCAGACTGTAAACTACCTTTTTGACAATAGTCTGGACATGTACACTTCATTTGATCTGATGGACAGAGCCTCGTGGCCAGAAGGCCACTCTCTCGTGCCGTCTCATCCCTATCTTGAAAATCGCCAAATATTACAGAAAATAATGTCTGACGCCGGATTTCAACAGTATGAAAAGGAATGGTGGCATTTCACTTTGAGGGGAGAGCCTTTTCCTGATAAATACTTTGATTTTGAGTTTTAAATGAATTTGTTTTGCAAAATTATATTTTTTATGTTTGTTGTATCTATTTGAGGGTCGTTCACTTAGTTCTGCGATTGTTTTGCAAGTTTAACTTGCGCAAAAACAAAAAACAAGAGGGTTCAGTGACTTTAACTTGGCCATGCTTTTTTGTCAGCATGTCCTTTCTCTAACGGCCATTCACTCTCACCTGTCAGATGTGATTTGATTGAGTATCAGAGAAAAATGGAGTACATTTTTGAAATACCACAACATATTATTCAAGCTCATCAGTGGTGGCAATTAAAAATAACAGCAGTGCATTTGTAAAAAACTTAACTTTATTATGTTTAAAAAATTAATCTACGTTTTTTGTTTTCACTACAAATGTATACTTGAAAATTTTTCAATCTGGAAGTATTTTGGCTTTTTGAAATTGACCTTTATAGTTTTGTTGTTGTTTGCACTTGAGCAAATGGTAAAATAACCCATTATATGGCTCACCATTTAGCAAATAAAGTAGATATTCAAACCAGTTGCCTAGCTTTAGTGTCAACATGTAATGCTCATCAACTCTTTTCAATCTTTTTGATAACCTAACTCCAAGTCCGGTCGAGCGACCGGTTGCCTTTAGACTAAATGATGGTCATGAATATCCGTGTTCTCTCTTTTTCTCAGTTTGTACCTTTAGCTGACCGATAAAATGACAAAATGTTCTCTCTCTCTCTCTCTCTCTCTCTTGCTCTTCCGCTTTATTCCAAATCATCAGCAGATATAAAAGCCCAATTCGTGGCCAAATAAAAGTTATAGCATTTTTTCGTGCGACCTTCCCCAGTCATGAAGTTCTTCTCCGTTGCTCTCCTTTTTGTTGCCTTTATCATTGGCGTTAGTGCCAACTACCTTACGGCCACTAAAGGTGGTGCCCTTCCCACTAAAGGAGGCTCCCCTGCTACTAAAGGTAAACTGACAATAAAGTTTGAACATTTTTTTTCTGTAAATTAACTGTTTGTTTTGCTGTGTGTTTTATGTTTAGGCTCTCCAGTCCTTCCGACAAAGGGTGGTCCTCTGAAAGGCCTTCTCAAGCCGTCTGCCAAGCCTGTGTACTCTCCCAATTTGTATCCTCTTCGCCCTCAGTCAAAGGTCGAACAGAAAGTTGAGCAACAGGTAATATTACAGCAAGAAGAGGAGCCTTTGATTCAGCAGCAACTTGAGCAGTCGGCAAAGAAACCAATGAAGGTGGGCATTACCAAGTGGGAGCAGAACATTGAGGAGCCCAAAAATGTGTACAAACCTAGAAAATCCATCCTCAAACCGCAGGTGCAGAAGATTGAGCAGCAAGTCGTACAGCAGGAAGAGGAGCCAGTGCAGCAGCAGCCTCTCGAGCAGTTGCCCTTGGGGAAGAAAATGTTGAAAACTCCACTCTCAGCACCGAAACCTCTTCCTGCTCGGAACAGTGCCCTTAAGCCAAAGCCAGTACGCACTGAGCAGAAGCTGTACCAGAACGTTCGTCAGGTGCCCACTACCTTCAATGCTGATGCTGGCTGGGATTGAACTTTTTAAATTGCCACAGCTTTGAGCTCCAGTTTATTTAAATTATTTATTTATTTTACAATCAAAATTACTATTTTTAAAATAAAATCTTTATTTTTAATCTGCATAATTTGTAACCAATTTAAACTTTTTTAAACTTTGCAAACAAAGAAATACAGTTCAGTTCAACAACCCTTTTCTATTCATGTCAATGTCGACGAATGCTCTCCTTCTGCTCATTCATTGCACTGCTCTTTACAGCAGAGTTGTCAAAGTGTGCTCCACTCAGCCACACATTCATCCATTCATTTTAATCGGCCAGCTAAAAGAACTAAAGACAAAATAAATGAGCATTATTAAGCCGACACTTCCCCTAACGACAGTCCACAACAAAACCGTTTACCGTTTTCTGTAATGTGTTGTTTTTATTTTGATCTTCGTCGCAAAGGTCATTGCACAGCTGACTGACAGGTTGCTGCGGCTGCCGATGCACTTTGTTTCACCCTAAGGATGTATGAGTTAGCGGGAAAAGGACAGCAGCAGATAATGATGAGTTCTTGACCCTGCAGCAGCGCATTCAGTCCAGTGATCCTGTTACTTCTTCTTCTTCTTTTCTCTCGTTCTTCCACCCGTAACCTGTTCTCCCTTCCTAACCCCCTAAACTCGTTGGCCACGATGTAAACCCTCGGCTCTGCTATAAAAGCAGCAGCCACCTGTCTACTCCTCCGCATCATCATCTCATTACACTTTCAGTATTAGCTCACTACATACGACTCTCACTAAACTAAAATGAAGTTCTTCACTGTTACTTTCCTTCTGCTGGCTATCGTGCTGGCTGCCAGTGCCCACGTTCTGCTGGGCACCAAAGGCGGTGCACTGCCTTCGAAAGGTGGTCTTCAGGCGCCCGTTAAAGGTTTGTCAAATGTTGACTTTATTTACTAGATAAACTAATCAACAAATCACTAATTTAGGTGGTCCAGCTCTTGCGACAAAAGGAGGAGGACTAAAGGGCCTTCTGAAACCTTCATCCACCCTTCCTCTGCCTACAAAGGGCCTGAAAAAGCCACTGCTTCTGCCCGTTGAGCAGCAGAAGATCGAACAGGAGCCACTGAAGGACGAGCAAAGGCCACTGCTGCCAGCGGAGGAACCAGCGCCCCTTGCTCAGGAGCCACTGCAGCAGGAGTTGCTGAGAGAGGAACAGAAGCCACTTCTGCAACAGGAGCCACTCGTTCAGGAACTGTTGAAGGAGGAACAGAAGCCTCTGCTGGCCACTGCCGAGGAGTCACAAAAACCACTGGAGCAGCAGACACTGCTGACCGAGGAGACCAAGCCAATGCCCATTGAACAGCAAAAGGTAGAACAGGAGCCACTGAAGGAGACATTGCTGCCGCAGGAACCAGTGCTCGCACAACAGCAGGAACTGCTAGTTGAGGCCAAGGGAAAACCTGTGCCCAGCCCGCCTCGAAAGACCCTCCCCCGAAAAACGCTTCTTCGCCCGGTGGTCATTCAGCAGGAGAAGGTCGAACAGGAGCCCCTGGAGCAGCTTCCAGTGCAGCAGCAACAGGAGGAGAGGCCACTTGTTCAGGAGCCATTTGAGCAGAAACTCGGCTGGGATTAGGCTCATATGTCTGTTTCGATCTGATCTGATGCTAGAAACAAACCACTTGGGGTAGTCAACGGTTTGGTGATGCACACACTCCCTCCTCTTCCCCTTTTCCCAGGATTCAACCACAAAAAAAATTCTCAAACAAATAATGCTCAATTTTTAAAATAAAAATAAATAGACGATTACAATTAAAACATGCAAAGGTAGTTTTCCACTTGGGAATGTACCTATCAGTAAAATCCGCTTTTGATAATCGCTTTTGATAGTCACTAATTACTACTGCTGCAGTCATTTTCATCTCAACTTTAGTTCTTTTGGCTCAACTCGTACTTCAGTGTTTAGAACAAAAATGGCTAAACTTTGCCGGTACTTGCTAGTGCTCTTCTTAGGCACTTTCCTTTTAGGCACGGCCATGGCGTTTGCCTCCTCCTCTACTGTGCTGCCAGACAACCATCAGACAGCTCACCACCACCTGCCTGAGGGCTTTGTCTACCTGTGGCAGTTTTATGAAAACCAGATCAAGCCTAACAGAACAACAGCTCATCTGGAGCCGATTCGAGAGCACCTACGATACGGTATGACATTCAAGTGTTACTTCAGTTACCACAATGACACCTTTTTATTTTGAGCAGCAACGGAGGAAAACTTCACCGGCGCAGTGGTGCGAGGCTACCGCCCAGCTGGTCAGTCGCGAGCAGTGCTCACGCTGAAAGCCGCCCAGGCGCTGTACCGGGCCCAGGAGGCAGCCCTGGCCGCCGGCTACAGTCTGCTAGTCTACGACTCCTACCGACCGCAGAAGGCGGTGGACTCCTTCGTGGAGTGGGCCAAGCAGCCGGACAGTTGCGCCAAGTGCCGTCGCAACTACTTTCCCTACCTGGAGCACAAACTGGACGCCTTCAGGCTGCCAGACCGGTACGTGGCGCCCAAGTCGAGACACTCGGGCGGCAGTACGGTCGACTTGACTATCATCAGAAGGGAGGAGACGGTCCACCAGCCACCGGTGGCCATGGCCCGTCAGCTGGCCAACAACCAGACGGTGCACTACCTCTTCGACAACAGCCTCGACATGTACACCTCATTTGATCTGATGCACTACGCCTCATGGCCGGAGGGCCACGGTCTCCTGCCCTCTGCTGATCACCATCCTTACCTCAAGAACCGCCACACACTGGCAAAGATAATGACCGACGCTGGCTTTGTGCAGCTCCCGCGGGAGTGGTGGCACTTTACACTGAAAGAGGAGCCCTTTCCAGAGTCCTTCTTTGACTTTGATTTTTAACAGTAAATCGCTTTCTCAGTTAAAAACTGTAGGTGAGTGATTTAACCTGTGTCAGTCTATTACAAAAAGTTTGAGTATAGATAGAGAAAGAGTGATAAAAAATAAAAAAAAAGAAACAAAGTCTACTGAAAATCACAATAATTACACTTTTAGTTACACTTTACTTTGCAAGCCTAAAAGTTTGTCAGCGGAGTGCCGCTGTGCATGCCAGGCCAGGCCTCCTTGGCGTACTTTTTCTTTGGCGATTTATCCTCACTGAGCGATGCCATGACCTCATCATCGTACAGTGTGGCCGCTTCAGAGGATGATGACTCGTGGTGCTCGTCGACGGCAATGCTGGTGCTCTCAGCAGTGGTGGGCTCAGGTGCCGGGCTAGGCAGGTGAATGCCCAGTGACTTTGCTGTGAGAAAGTTGTTGCTGTACGAGGAGGAGGGGGCAGAAGAAACACTGGAGGAAGAGCTGGATGAAACAATCGATGGGGCAGGATTTATTCGTGGCAAAAAGGAGAATGATGTTTGAGAGATGCTGACGCCAGAGTCGAGTCGAGCTCTTTTGCTGATGAAAGTTAAAAAGGTTAGAGATTTGCCGTTGATGAAGGATACAAAGGAGCTCTTACTTTGGTTGATTAGGAATAACAATTGTTGATGAAACGAGATTTCGAAAACGACCCACTGTTGGATCGACATCCTCGGGGTTGATGACGTCCTCCTCTTCATTGAAGGACACGGATTTTCGCTTCATGGCCGTTGCAGGCTTGATGATTTCACCATCTTTGTCGATTCCTAACATCGAAATGGTACGATTGTTGATGGTGTTGTTTTGTGTCAGTTTCTAAAAAATGACAAAGATATTAGTTGTTTTTTTAAAAATTACCCTGACTTACGTCTAGCTCAAATTCAGTTTCAGGAAGAGAAGCATTTGCGTCCTCTTCGAGGAGTAGTTCAGACTTGACTTGTTTAGGTTTCTCCCGAAGTGTGTAAATACGCGTTGAAGCGCCAAAGTGAAAGGAAGCATCGATTTGCAGTGGCGTCGGCTGGTTTGGCTCCAAACGGACATTGCCAATGTGCGAACCATGAGCTGATAAGTGTATGCTATAGAATGAAACTTTTTTAAACAACTCCCAACTTACTGCTGTTCAAATCGGTGAGATAGAATAGCTTCAGGTGTTTATGATAAACAAGTGCAGCGTGCACTCTTGAGCAACTTTGATGATCGATGCAGAAGTCGGTCTGCTCCAAGTTTCTTCCAAACGTGTAGTAGGACTTTTCATCAATGGGCAATTTCTAAAATGAACTATTTGTTGACAACAAACTGCCTCTCAAAACAACTGAAGCACATACCGTGAATAGTTTTCCATCTTTGGTGACATCGAGGTGATAGCCAGAGGGAGGTTTGCCAGCCCTGGAGGTAGGTGGTAGATAGTTATCCCATGACAGCTACTTATCCCGCTTTTAATTACCATTTTGGCGGCTCGTATCCGTTGCTCATGGTGCCCCGAAGATTCTGGTGTCCAAAGGTAAATTCCGATAAACAGATGCCGGAGTCTGTCAACTTCAAGGACTTCGCTCCCCGTCCTTGCCAAAATGATGATACTAAAATGTTGTTCCCCTTTTTTGGAACTGCTGAAAGTATTTCTTTGGTGAAAACAATAGACAGTGTTCAAGAAAAATCAAATCAGAAATCGACGAAGAAGAAACCAAAAAGCAGTTGTAAACAAATGCGGCAGCGAATAGTATCTTCACCGGCCACCAGCATGCGCAAAAAGTCGTCACTTTTGACGTCGATTTTTGGTTGATTGAGCTGCTGCATCAACTCTCCAAATCTCGTTCTTATACCTTAACAACGACGACGTTAACGACGACAGTAAATGACTACTGATAGCAGCACAGTGGTAGCAGTTGACAACAGCCCCGAAGAGTGGACTAATCACCTATTTGGCTTCGAAATGCCCGTCGACATTCTCTCGATTCTGTACGCTGGCACGGTGGCTCTAGGCGGGGCCATAGGCTACGCCACCAAGGGTAAGTGACACTCACTGAAAGTTCCACTGAAGATCTAATTCTAAATGGCTTCAACCATCCACCCCTCAGGAAGCATCCCGTCGCTTGTAGCCGGACTTTCATTTGGAGCCATTCTCGGCGTCGGCGCCTGGCAGACGTCGGTCAATCCGCGAAACTACTGGCTCATAACAGGTGTGTGATTGTTGTGTGACAAATGTAATTTCTATCTATTTTAACGGTCTTCCTCTTTTTCAGTCACCTCTCTGGTTCTGTCGGGAATGATGGGCTACCGATTCTACGGCAGCAAAAAGTTCATGCCAGCAGGACTCGTCTTCACTCTGGCCACTCTGATGGTCATTCGCTTTGGCCTGCGCTTTGTCACCGGCCGAAACTACTTCTGATCTGATATCGTCAATGGAAAGCACTTCCTAAGAGGTCCCAAAGGTACTTCCAGACCTAATGCAACAAAGAAATATTCTCTCCAAGATGTCCCACAAGGTGAACAAGACAGGTTTTGTAAGCTTTTTTATTATTAGTTATTAAATAGAAGTTGCTTTCTCACATTGAGTGAACAAAGTTAAGGAAAACAAAGAAGGAATAACGTAAGAAAAGAGTGGGGAAGGAAGCGCCTAAAAAGATGCGGTGTTTGAACTTTGAAGAAAGCACGTCGATTCGGGTGAAATACTTCGACGAACGCAGAAGATTGCTTTCCTTCAGTGTTTTCTGCAGAGGCAGAAACAGTGTCTGCTTTGAGATGTGTTGGGTTTTAATTAACGATGGAGGTGGCGTTTGCTGCAAAGAAAGAAAGATGTGTGCAAGAGTGCAAGGTGGTTGGTTGAGTGTGACAACGTTCAGCTGACGGGCCTTTTGTCCTTCCTTCAGGGCAGATCAGTGTCACTGGCCACCGAGTCGACATCGTCGCCGAACTCGATAATGTCTTCGTCGTCGTCGTCCTCGCCAAACTCCCGGTTCAAGCTGATCTCGTTGATCTTGGCATTTTCTGGCAACTCGCCGTAGCTCTTCAAGTTACGGGCCTCGTCGGGATTATACTTCAGAATGACGTCAGCTTTGGTGTCCTGGTAGTCGCGAAGACCGACGAGAATAATGTCGCCCTGGTTGATCCACACTTTCTTACGGAGCTTCCCACGAATATGACATAGTCGTTTGACGCCGTCAAAGCAGAACGCCTCCAAGCGACCGTTTCCGAGCATTTTCAGTACCTGTGCGTACTCCTGTCCGTCCTCCTTGAAGACCAGCTCTCGCTTTTCGTCTTCATTCTCGTTCTTACCACGACGACGGTTCTTTCCTCCCTTTCCCTTATTTTTCGGCATGTTTGCAGTGGTGGGGCAGTGGCTACCGAAGAGAGTGCTGCTTTACACTGAAAAATAGAATTCAAAAAACAAAAACGGTCAGTCTCATTTCGTCACATCAAGACACTACCTACACACACGTGGTGCCGGACACCGAAGAGCACTCCAAATGTGACTCAACACAGCAAGCAACCGCAAGTACTTACCCCAAGCAAAGACTAGTGGTGGAAGGATTCCGCCGTACAGCTGTAATGGCTCAAGAAAGCTTTTGGTTGCTGCAAAAGGGATTCGATTAGTGCCAGTGTGGATTCCTCCAGGTATGTTGAGACCGGGCCGGAGAGTACACTCCAAAAGAGAGAACTGGAGATGCTTACGACAGAAGCGGAGCGAGCGAGCGAAACGCTGCAAGCACGACAGTGCGAGCTGATGGCAGAGAAAGAGAGAGAGAGAGAGAGAGAAGAAAAGTTGCCACAATGACTTGCCGTGCTGTGCTGGTGGTGGCCATTCACAGGCAGCGTGAAAGCACTGGCAAGGCAGGGAAACGTGGCAGGGGCGCAGCGCACACCCAGCGCACTGACATCCGCTACCAGAAGATTTCTCGACAGCGAAGCGGCGAGTCACTTCGCCTGCAACTTCCCCCCGTCAAATACCGCCAAAACACGAAGCGCAGCAGATTCTAAATATCTTTATTTTTGGAGACACTTATTAAACAGTGCAGCAGCAGTAATACATTATTGCTTCGTGAAGGAAAAAGGGTAAAGTGAATTATATATAAGTTTATGAATACAAAAGTGCAAGTGAGAGTGCTACGATAATTCATGCTACCGGTGCAATGGGTAAATAAAGCAAATAAGAGGTAAAGAGGTCAACAGAACTTCCATCGCTTGCCACACTCGTTGCAGTAGCAAAAGGTAGTCATCGGCTCATCGGCGCTTCGAGTTTGCACCTGAAAAGAATACCCGGTTAGAAAGACGAGTCTACAAATACGGGCACCTTTCTTTGCTTACCTGATTGTATGTACAGTTGTTCTTCTTACAGGCTGGACATTTGAGAAGATCAGTTTTGGTGCCGCCGGTTAGCACCATCTGTGCGTCGTCAATTGCCTCCTTGGTGAACTTTTGCCTCAGCGACTTCATCTCATTCGATGCCATTTCCTTAACAACAAAAGGGCACACAATGGTTAATTAACGTCGTTCCACTTAGTCTAGTCAAAGCAATGGCACACACCTCTGCAGTCATCACAGCAATCTTCGCTGGTGTAATGGAACCTCTGAGCACGTTGATCTTCAAATCAGGGTTCTTTTTGTCGTTCAAGTTAGAGACCCTAGAGCGGACGCGATTCTTGTACTTGGTGTTGGTATCCTTGAACTCCTTATAAATGGCCTCTTCAATGAGAGAGGCTAATTGTTCGGGATCGTAGAACCCGCTACCCTCACCGCCCACCGATTCGATCAGCGCTGCGTCAGGTTTAAGGGCATTGGTGAGCATTTCTCGGCACTTGAGGCGAATTGAATCAGTAGTAACGTTAGCGGATGGGAACGTTGATTGTCTTAGAGACTGAAAGGAGGAGGACGTCTTTGTTGACGAGGATGAACTGCTGGCTGGCTGTTGATTCGACTTTGAAGAGCTACTGCTGCCGTTGCCGTTGTTGAATTTTGATTTAGAGTCGTTTATCGCGCCATTGCTACTCTTAGAGTTGATTGACCCTATTTCAAAACAAACCGTTTAGAGCACGTGTTTTCATTCACTGTGTACATTTTTTGCTTCCTAAAACCTGAGTACTACTCACCTTGACTTGATTCTGTCGTATCGTGAACGCCGTTCTTCTCCTTTTCACCATTCTCTCCAGGAGACGGTTTGTTGTCTTTCTCTAGTAACTTTTTCCAGTTTTTGATCAGTAGTTTTGAGAGCGAGGACACCTCTTCATCAGAGATGGACTTTCTTAGATTGTTTACTATTAGACCGATGCGTGTACGCTGAATTAGCGCTAGTGAGATGGGCAATTTTTGCAGCAATCGCAAAAGGTCAAGGGCCTGGACGGAACTCTGCAAGGGAAAAAAGGCGGCAAAAGTTAGATGGCTGCTCACCAGGCTACTGGCGCGGCTGTAAGAAAAAAATACCGTAGAGTCTTTGCGGTGGATTATCTTCTCTAGCTTTCGGCCAATTCTGCCAATCTCTTCTTCGGTGGCGGCCATATTTCTTTTGAAATTCTAAAACGAAAATAAGAAACAAACCAGGCAAGTTCTAGAGAGAGATAGAGAGGGAGAACGAGAGTCTCTCTCTGAGAGAGCGTCGATCCAAGACCAGTCCTATATGCACCTCACGTTGAATTTCGAGTTTAGACTCACTGTTGTTCTAGTGAAAATAGACTTTTACAGTTTTAGAAAATTGAAGTTCGTAATCATTTGGGCGTCGAAATCTTTTGAACCTTCACAATGGTAAAAATTGAGGGCCTTCTTATTGAGAATATGCACAAAATTGATGATAATTTCTTTTCAGTTTCCTTCACGGAAACGAGCCAAAGCCTCTCCAGTCCTCGAGGACGGAGAGTCGTCTTTGGAGAAGAGGAAAAAGAGAAAAACCTTAAAAGCACCTTCTTCTTCTTACGTCAAACGTCCTCGGCACGATGACCTAGCTGCACGGAATTCCAGAAGCAGCAAAGCCGTCAAACGCCAATTTAGATACATTACTCCTAAATTCGAAGTAACATTAAGTAGTCAACCGCTTCCAACTGAAAATCCGATTAAAGATCCTAGTTTAGAAGAGTCCATTTGTCACATCCACCGCATCAGCGACAAAGAGCTGCTACAAATCTTCCGATATTTGCCTCTAACTCAGCAGATTACAGTGGAACGAGTCTGCTCTCGGTGGCAGGAGTTTTCCATTAGCGCCTGTCTGGATCGGTCGTCGCTAAGAATCGTCCAAGACCCTTCCTTCGCCTCGTCTCTGACGGAAATCTGTCGTCTATTCTTCTTCAATGACCACCAGTCGTGGCTACCACTGGAAGAGAGCTGTCTCTTTGTTCGAAAGCAGATGACCGAGGCTCAGGTTGACTGGCTGGGACAGCGCTTTCCACGAGTGAAGTACCTTGCACTGTACTGCGTCGATCGTCTCCCCGTAGAGCTCTTTGCTCGACTGGTTGGCCACCTCACCCAAGTGGAAACGCTGGAGTTGTTCTGCTCGGAGACGCAGAAGAAGGAGTACCACTGCCCGACCTTCTGGGATGCAGTCGATAATATGCACCACCTCTCCTACATTCACCTTCCTTTCGATTATACTCAGATGGGAGAGAGCAATGCAGTCCTCGATCGACTGTATAACCGTGTCACAATGCTCTTTCATCGATCAAACAACACTCGGACTGAGCGGGTGAGTTAGTAGAGAAATATTTCAATTTACTCCAGCTCATCTCATCGTTTTATTCTTGTCCCCAGGAAGCAGTACCAAACGACGAGCCACACCCCTCGGCAAAGGTGTCACCACTGAAACGGTGCTGTCTGATGGACGAGGACGGCCGTCTAGGGCAGTTTCTGCTTCGCTTTGACCACCGCCCAACGCCTGATGATCCGATCAATGCGGTCATCACCGGCCTTGGCCTCTACAGCGGGCACATTCAAATTCGCGAGCTAAGCCAGCGCTTGAATCTGGTCAAGTTCGGCACTCTGGTGATGAACAATGAGAACAACATCACCCATGTCGATCTGGATGTGCCGTGCAATGTCACACTGTCGTCCTTTCTGGCGCACTTCAGCACACTGCAGGCGCTGACGCACCTTCGCATCACCGCCCGCCGGGACCCGCAGACGAGACAGCCCGAGGCACTCTTTGGCAATGTGACGCTGGAGAACTACACCGCAGTGCTCACTCCGGTGATCAATCGCCTGCAGGTGCTAGTGCTCAGTCGGTTCGACATTGCCTCGAATGACGTCCGACTGGTGCACTACTTCCCTCACATGTTCCCCGCACTGACCGACCTGCACTTTGAGGACTGTCGCCTGCAGCGTGACTGCACCTTCTACCGCTCCGTCTTTACCGGTCACTTTCCACAGTTGAAGAGGGTGTGGCACAACAACCACATTCTGCTGGAGGTAGTGCGAACGCCGGTGAATGGTGAGCAGCTGACGGAGGTGCAGAGAGATCAGGTGGCTCGAATGATCAAGAAGATACCACTGCTGTACAAGAAGCGGGCAAAGTTTGCACTGCTGCACGAAGTGGCCAAACGGGTCAATGGCAATTTCCGCATCAATGGCGCGGAGTTTGTAAGTTTTGGCGGTGTTGAAAATGGAAAAATGTGTATCTAATTAATGTTTGTTGTTTTAGATGGAGGAATTTAATCGACGTAGAGGAATTGCGCCTGCCATTCAACGTGGATGACTTTTACTAGTATTATTTTAATTGTGTTTTTTCCGGGTATACAACTCAGCTGCAATATTTTCTTTCTGACTAAGCTTACTCTTCTACCGTATCATGTAATATCGACTATAATAGTGTAGGGTTTTTAAAATAATTGCAATGCAACACACCATAGTACAAACATAGTTTTTACCAACTTTGATCTCTTCGAATCTCTCGGTCTCTTTTTAATTGAATTAAACAGCTTTTTTCGAACAAACATAAACTGTGTAAAAATATGATTCATTCTACAACGTGTTGTTACTCCCTTGTCTTTTCTTCTTCAAACTTTTTTTTCAACCCTCGTGTCGCGTCAAATACTGCAGTGCAAACCTAACCAAAAACTGACACAACCAGTTCCCCCACACCCCTTCTGAGAGCATGTCCAAAAAGCCGAGGGAAGAACGCCCAATCGCCCAGTCGAAAGAGGCAGGGAAAGAGGAGCCAAAGAAGAGCATAAAAGAACAGCCCAAAGGTGGAAGGTAAGTGCAGTGTCCTTTTGACGATGGAGTGTACAAAAGAGCAATTTTTTCAAACATTCAGCTTCCTCCCTTACCTCTTTCTCAGCTCCAGGGACACCTCATCATCCGCAGCATCGAGCAGAAAAGCCTGCTCACTGGTGCTGGGCAGTGCCCCGCCGCCACCGCCGCCGCCAGCGGCAACCCAGGCGCCCAGTGCGTCGTCATCAGTGGACAACGAGAACAGCGCCGTCTACTCGGTGGCCCTCCCTGAAGGCTGGGGCGACCTGAGGGTGCGCTACAAGCAACGTCCGCCACAGCCCGAGGATGAGAACCACGACCTGCAGCTGCTTTTTCGGGTGAACGAGAACACACGGAATGAGGAGGATCAGACGCCCCACATGCAGAGGATGTCTCCGCGGGAAATCGCCAAGACGTCAACGCTGCACTGTCCACCACCATCGCCACCACCACCACCACAAGCGAAAACTGCCGCCAAGTGGAGTCCGCCCATCGTCAAGTACGTCACTGCCAAGTGGAACGAGTGGCAGTACCTGAAGGAGGGCCCAAAAACGGTCGAGCTGGAGGTGGCAGAGGTCTCCTCACGTAGGTGTTCTCCTCCTCTTTTCTTCACAGTTTGCTCTCATTCAGTCAGTTGTGTTCACTACTTTTACCCCTGCCCATTTTTCGCTCTTTTTTCGCAGGTTCCCCAAGTCCTGAAAGTGTGACCATCGAGGAGGTGCAGCAGCTGCGAAGAGAGTTTGACGCCATGCTGGCGAGGATTGCCCCGCCTCGACCAGCATTATCTCAGACAGCACCAGCACAAGCACCAACTCAAGCAACATTAACACCAGCAAGGCCACCACCACCACCACCACCGCCACCGCCAGCCCAACCCAGAAATGGGAAAGACCAGAAGNAAGTACGTCACTGCCAAGTGGAACGAGTGGCAGTACCTGAAGGAGGGCCCGAAAACGGTCGAGTTGGAGGTGGCAGAGGTCTCCTCACGTAGGTGTTCTCCTCCTTTTTTCTTCACAGTTTGCTCTCATTCAGTCAGTTGTGTTCACTACTTTTTACCCCTGCCCATTTTTCGCTCTTTTNGTTCCCCAAGTCCTGAAAGTGTGACCATCGAGGAGGTGCAGCAGCTGCGAAGAGAGTTTGACGCCATGCTGGCGAGGATTGCCCCGCCTCGACCAGCATTATCTCAGACAGCACCAGCACAAGCACCAACTCAAGCAACATTAACACCAGCAAGGCCACCACCACCACCACCACCGCCACCGCCAGCCCAACCCAGAAATGGGAAAGACCAGAAGACTTCGAGCAAGTCAAACAACAGGGCCGGAACCAAAAGCAATGCCACCAACAAGAAGACAGAGAAGACGGAGAAGAAACAACCGGCCAAGCGCGAGGGCGCTTTGTGAAGCATCTCGTACATTTTTTTAATAATATGAACATTGTACATTTCGTGTAGTTTGAATAGTTAGTATGAAAAAAGTGCTAGTGGTGAGAACGCAGATTAGGTGTTGTGGTGGAGGACACTTGCTGGCGACAATTGGACAACAACACTGGAATTTCTCTGGACCATCGGTTTGCTGTTGAAGAACTGGCATTCATTCTGGCTGAATGAACTACGACTGCTGAACGTGGAACTTCTTCGAGGGGTCCTTGGCGTGGTCCAACAGCAGCTGACAGGGTTTAAAATGCGGCCCATAGATGTCGGTGAAGCGGTGCATCACATCGACGGCAGTCTGCGCGCCCACCGTGTCCATGAAGCGGAAGGGGCCGCCGAGGAAGGGCGGAAAGCCCAGGCCGAAAATGGCGCCAATGTCGCCCTCAAGCTAAGGTGAAAGGAAAAGTCAAATAAAGAAAACCAAACCTGGCTTTTTTCGCTTCTTTTCATTTACCGGATTGGAAAGGATGCCCTCCTCCAGACAAAGAACTGCCTCGTTGATGAATCGGGCTGCCAGGCGGAACTGCAAGTCCTCAGGTGTGTGTCTGTTTTAAATTAAATTGATTTTTAATTACCGTAAAGTTGTAAACACCCGTAACCAAATTCTTACTTTAACTTGGGCGTCACTGAGTGCTTCTTGAGGATTTCCAGCGCGCCGGGGTTCATCGGTCGTTTGCCCTTTTTGTTCTTCTTGTCGTTTTTATCGTAGATGAACCAGCCCTTGCCGCTCTTTCGGCCGTGGAAACCGGCGGCCACCATGTCGTGCATCAACTGCAGACTGCCACCGGCAAAGCGCTCCGGGTGGACTGATCGCATGTAAGTGGCGACGTGAGTTGCGACGTCCACTCTATAAGGAAATGGGTTTTTAATTAGAAAAGTTTGAGGTAAACTAGGGGAAAAAAGTAGAATCACTTACCCAACTTCGTCCATGAGCGTGGCAATGCCGATGGGAAAGCCAAATCTGAAAGTGATGTGTTAGTGAAAAAGAAGTACTGAAATATCTGACTATCCTTACTTGGTGCTCATGTCATCGAGGTCCTTGGGCGTCAGTCCTTCCTGCAGCATGAGAATAATCTCCGACATTCCCGGGCTCAGGCAGCGAGTGGTGTAGAAGCCAGGGCAGTCCTTGACGACGATCACGATTTTCTTCTGCTTTAGACCCACATCGACGGCCAGCCTGGTCGCCTCCTTGCTCGTCTGATCGGTGGTGATGATCTCCAGCAGCGGCATCTTATCCACCGGACTGAAGTAGTGCATGCCAATGACGTTTTCGGGTCGCTTTGCGCCCTTGGCAATCTCCGAAATGGGCAGTGCAGAGGTGTTAGAGGCAAAGACGCAGTCGTCCCGGGTGACCGCCTCTACCTCGGCGAGCACCTTGTGCTTCACCTTGATGTCCTCAAAAACGGCCTCGATGACGATGTCAGCCTCTTTGAACTTTCCGTAGTCCAGCGTCGGGTAGAGGTTGGAGGCAGTCCGGTCATGAACGAGTCGAGGAATTCGCCCCCTGGCCAGCTTCTTATCGAGCGCCCCAATAATCTGCTCCTGACCTCTAGTCAGTCCCTTCTGGTTGGTGTCCTTCAGAATGGTGGTCATACTGCCGATGGTCACCTGAGCGATGCCGGCGCCCATCAGACCGGCGCCCAGCACGGCAACCGTTTCCGCCTTCTTCTTCGGCTCTCCAAAGTGGTTCTTCTTGCAGTGGGTGTGTCCGTGGAAGAGGCCAATCAGCGCTTTCGACTCAGAAGTCTGCGTCAGCTCGGCAAAGCCTCGAGCCTCATCGTTGAACCCCTCCGCTCTTGACTTGTGCAGACCACTGCCGATGACGTCAATAATCTTCAGCGGAGCCGGGTAGTGGCCTTTGGCGAACTTGTTCACCTCAGTGCGTGCCTTCTCGAGAACCTTCTCACGGAGAAAGCCAATCTTCATGGCTTCGCGGAACAGCTCTGAAAAAATTATCGAGGTTTAAAAAATGTAAATAAAAAAGTAAAATGTTATTTACTCTCTTGAATAGGCCTCTTTCGCACGACCTTCAACTTCTTGGAAGCTAAATCTTGTGCCGTCTTGATGGCCACCTCCTCAAGGTACTCTAGCGTTCTCTCCTCTGCTGGGGCTATGCCAGGACCTAGCGGCTCGATCACCGCATCGATCAGGCCCATTTTCTTCGCCTTTGAGGGGCGAATGTTCTTCGCCATGAGCATCATCTGCAGAGCATCAGGTACGTGGATCAACTTTGGAAGGCGCTGAGTGCCGCCACCGCCCGGCAAAAGGCCCAGCATCACCTCGGGAAGAGCCATTACGGTCTGGAAAAA